CTCCACCATGTTGGATTCCCCTCGTATTAACAGGTTTTTATTTCACCATAAACTAGACACTGAATTCTTATTTATTAAATAAGTTTAATGCTTATTTAGGTTAATAACAATTTGTAGAGCTGCCTAAATTTTATTGTACAAAATAGACAACACCACTTACTGCTATATACATCTTGATAGTGTGCAAAATCACTTATGATCAGTCCATATAAATTGTTCATAGTTTATATACAAACTGGGATAAGTGCTACAGCACAGTGAAACATGCTGTGGGAGCACCTAGGAGGGAGTAACTCTGGGCAAGCTAGGAAAGGCTTCTATAGAAAAGAAGGTACTTTTGAATTAGTTTTAACATTTTTTTTTTTTAATGTTTATCTTAGAGACACAGAGACAGAGCACAAGTTGGGGAGGGGTAGAGAGAGGAGACACAGAGTCTCCTTCTGTGGGGCTGGAACTCACCAACTGTGAGATCATGACCTGGCTCAACTGACTGCGCCACCCAGAGGCCCCATCGTATTTGTGCTTTAAGCAGCTTTATTGAGATATAATTTATATGCAGAAATATGCATATTTTTACATTTGTAGCTTGATGTTTTTTTTTTTTTTCAACGTTTATTTATTTTTGGGACAGAGAGAGACAGAGCATGAATGGGGGAGGGGCAGAGAGAGAGGGAGACACAGAACTGGAAACAGGCTCCAGGCTCCGAGCCATCAGCCCAGAGCCCGACGCGGGGCTCGAACTCACGGACCGCGAGATCGTGACCTGGCTGAAGTCGGACGCCCAACCGACTGTGCCACCCAGGCGCCCCTTGATGTTTTGATAAATGTATATGCTTACCTTTCCTCCCCCTAAGTTTTTCATCACATCACTCCAGAAAGCTGTCTGAGCCCCTTTCAAGTCAATCTCTGCTTCCACCTAGTAACTACTGATTTCTATCACTGTAGATTGGTTTTGCGAATCTGGAACTTCATAGAATAGAGTCATGAAGTAGGTACTCTTTTTTGTATCTGGCTTCTTTTGTTCATCCTAAATTTAAAAATTCATCCTGTTTTGGAATGTAATGTGTTTTTTTTTGTATTGCTAAGTAGTATTTCATTGCATGAATATACCAGAATTTTATATCATCCTATTAATGGATATTTGTGTTGTTTCTAGATTTTAGCTATTATGAGTAAAGTTTCTGTGAACTAGTATGTACAATTGTTGTGGAGATGTTTTTTTTTCCCTTTTTTTTCTTTAAATTTATATTTTAGTTAACATACAGTGCACATTGGTTTCAGGAGTAGAATTCAGTGACTCATCACTTACATACAACACCCAGTGCTCATCCCAACAAGTGCCCTTTTTAATGTCCATCACCCATTTAGCCCATCCCTCATTCACCTCCCCTCCAGTAACCCTCAGTTTGGCCTCTGTCATTAAGAGTCTTTTGTGGTCTCTTTTCTCCTCCCGCCTTCCCATATGTTTGTCTGTTTTGTTTCTTAAATTCCACTTATCAGTGAAATCATATAGTATTTGTCTTTCTCTGAATGACTTATTTCACTTAGCATAATATTTTCTAGCTCCATCCACATCATTGCAATTGGCAAGATTTCATTCTTTTTGATGGCTGAGTAATATTCCAGTGTGTGTGTGTGTGTGTGTGTGTGTGTGTGTGTGTGTCTGTGTGTGCCACATCTTTATCTGTTCATCAGTTGATGGACATTGGGCGCTCTCTATAGTTTGGCTATTGTTGATAATGCTGCTATAAACATGGGGTTGCATGTATCCCTTTGAATCAGTATTTTTGTATCCTTTGGGTAAACACCTAATAGTGCAGTTGCTGGATTGTTGGGTAGTTCTATTTTTAGTTTCTCGAGAAACCTCTATACTGTTCTCCAGAGTGGCTCCATCAGTTTGCATTCCCACCAATAGTGTCAGAGGGTTCCCCTTTCTCTGCATTCTCGCCAACACCTGTTGTTTCTTGTGTTGTTAATTTTAGCCATTCTGACAGATGTGAGGTGGTATCTCATTGTGGTTTTGATTTGTATATCCTTGAGTGTATATCCTTGAGCATTTTTTCATGTGTCTGGTAGCTATCTGGATGTCTTCTTTGGAAGAGTGTCTCTATTCATGTTGTCTGCCCATTTCTTAACTGGGTTATTTGTGGATATGTTTTTATTTCTCTTGGATAAATACCTAAAGGTAAAATTGCTGGTTCATAGAGTTAGATGTATATTTAACTTTATAAGAAACTGACAAAGTGTTTTCCAAAGTGATTATACTAGTGGTGTATGAGAGTTCCACTTGCTCCATTGTTACCAACACTTAGTATTGTTAGTCTTTAATTTTTTAATTATTTATGTTATTTTATATATAGAGAGAGCGCAAATGAGGGAGAGGGGCAGAGAGAGAGAGAGAATCTCAGGCGGGCTCCACACTGAGTAACCTGATCCCACGACTCTCAGATCATGACCTGAGCCAAAATCAAGAGTCGGACACTCAACCAACTGAGCCACCCAGGTGCCCTAGTATTGTTAGTCTTTTAAGTGTTAGCCATTTTAGTGGGCGTGGAGTGATATCTTACTATGGTTTTAATTTGCATTTCCCTGATGATTGATGATATTGAGCATTCCTGTATCTAGTAAAGTCTTGCATCCATTAAAAAAATCAAAGTAAAATTTACCTACATTATATTTATATTTTTGGACCAGTATTGCTTGGGATAATAGCCCTCTCTGATTGTTTGCCATGGAGAGCACTCTTGTTTTTAACAACATTCCTGGGCATAGGTTTTTCCATTACTTGCTTCAAATAAAGTCAGCATTCTCTTGCAGGGCCAGGTAGCTGCCAAGTTTTAAGGTCTGCCGTGTCTTCTAAGGTGTGCCACACACTTAGCAGGGTGGATGGGGTGCACATAACTTCTGGCTGAAATGTCACACTTCCTCCTGAGATTTAGTAGATATTCCTGAATAAATGCTTCTCATTTTGTTGTTTATCCTTTGGTCAATTTTCACAGACTCTAATTACTTTTGACTGTCCTTTTTTTTTCTTTTCTTTTTTGGTTTTAGAGGAGAGGATTTGCTGAGTTTTTCACAGAGCAATTTTGGGAGCTCTGGCCTCTTTGTATTCGTTTTTTTTCTTGTTTTCCTGCAGTCTTTTTCTATACTGCAGCCACTCTCCTCCTCCTTGGCTGCTCCACTCCTCCAAACATCACAAAGCCAGTCATATCACTTTCAATCTTAAGTCTTCAGGTGTTGTTATTTGCTCTTAGAATAAAACCCAGAAAATTTTAAGATGGTCTAAAATTGTCTGGCTTGCTTTTTTTGTGTACTTTTATCTTGCATGAATCTGATCATTCTCCTCATTCTGGACATCCAATCATTATCCTCATTTTAGGGGACACTGCCTTCTCTATTCCTTACAAATCAAAGGCATAAGTGTTGGCTTTGCAATCTGGGGGATGTAGGTTTGAATTTCTGTTCTGCATTTATTAGCTGTGTGACTTTAAGTAACATGCTAACTCTTCTGAGTTGTCTGAAATACAGTGATGGACAAATATATTTCATAACACTGCTATAAGGCCTAAGTGAGATAATGTATGTAAAACCATCAGCACAATATCTTGTATCTAGCTACCTGATATTCTCTTCCCCTAATTCCCCTGAGTAAACAGTTTATATGAAATACCTATTTGTACAAGCGGAATCATTTTAGTATTACCATTCCAACATTATTTTTGAGTAAAATTTATGCCTGAATTTCTATTGTGTTTGAACATGTTTATTTGGGTATCTCATATCTAATTCAGAGCACCTTCATTAACTTAAAAAAATATGCTTTTGGGGCGCCTGGGTGGTGCAGTCGGTTAAGCGTCCGACTTTAACCAGGTCACGATCTCGCGGTCCGTGAGTTCGAGCCCTGCGTCAGGCTCTGGGCTGATGGCTCAGAGCCTGGAGCCTGTTTCCGATTCTGTGTCTCCCTCTCTCTCTGCCCCTCCCCCATTCATGCTCTGTCTCTCTCTGTCCCAAAAATAAATAAACGATGAAAAAAAAATATGCTTTTAATTGAAATATAACACATTAAGAATTTTACCTTTAACAAGGAAAATTTTCTCCACCCCCCCCCGAAATGAGACTATTAATAATAGATTTCTGTTTTTTTTTTAATTTTGGAAAAAGCTTCAAACTTGTAGAATAGAAGCAAAAATGGTACAATGAACTCCTATATACTCTAACCACAGTACAAGAATCATATTTAGGAAATTAACATCAGTACATTTCTGTTAGGTAATTTGATAGTCCCTTAGATTTTCCCAGGTTTCCTAATAATGTTTTCATAGCATTTTCCCCAGCTGCTCGGTCTAGAACCATGCACTTTATGTAGTTACCATGTGTCTTTATTGTGTTCTAATGTAGATTAGATTTATTCTGCTCTAATCTAATCTAATCTAATCTAGATTAGTTTCTCAGCCTTTCTTTGACTTTCATGACATTGATATTTTCAAAGGCCATTTGTTTTCTAGAAGTTTCTCAATTTTCTCCACTTTTTCATAATTGTGTTCAGGTTATGCATTTTTTGGCAGATACTATTTAAGAGAGTCTGCATGAAAGCATATCCTTTCCAGTGCATCACATATGTGACACCAGTTTGTTCCCTCTCATTGATGATGTTAACTTAGGTGATGTGGTTAAGGTAGTATCCACCAAGTTTATTTTCTCTAAAGTTACTATTTTCCCCTTTGTCATCAATAAGTAACCTGTGGGGAGATACATTGAGAGTGTGAATACCCTTTTTCTTAGTAAACTTTGATCACACAGTGTTTGCATGCTTGATGGTGCTTATCTGAATCAGTTATTACCATGGTGGTGACAAAAAGGTAAATTGTTAAAATTTTGATAATACTCAGGGGTTTTAGTTTTAGTGTTCTTGAGGGAGCTTTCTTTATCTAATAGTGATAGTTAAAAATTATTTGGGTATTACCTTGCTTATGTCATGGATTTGTTTATATGGTTTTTAGGTTCATGTACTGGACAGACTGGGGAGAAGTACCAAAGATAGAACGTGCTGGAATGGATGGTTCAAGTCGCTTCATTATAATAAACACTGAAATTTACTGGCCAAATGGACTGACTTTGGATTATGAGGAACAGAAGCTTTATTGGGCAGATGCAAAACTCAATTTCATCCACAAATCAAATCTGGATGGAACAAATCGGTAAGATTGCCTTATTAAGTTTATTTTTAAACTTTAAGTAAACATCATGGTGTTTTGATATCGTAAGCAAATTATAAAGGCCTAATTTTATTATGAATAAATTTATGTATTTTTGGCCAAGTGTCAAAGAGGAAGAAGAGTACACTTTTAGTTTGCTCTTGACAAAAGGTAACTACATTTCATCTATCTTGATAGGACTTAGAACTTATAGACTGTATTTTTTTCTCTTTCTTTCTTTCTTTCTTTCTTCCTTTCTTTCTTTCTTTCTCTCTCTCTCTCTCTTTCTTTCTCTCTCTCTCTCTTTCTTTTCTTTCTTTCTTTCTTTCTTTCTTTCTTTCTTTCTTTCTTTCACTCTGAGCTAATTTAGTTATAATACACAAACACGGAATTTCTTGTCAGATCATGTTCAGAATTTTACTGACACTTTCTATTTATGTTCTTGTGTTTGAATGATTATTTTGTTTTCTAGTGGTCTCATTCTTAAGACCTCAACAGAAACAGAACCTTAGATAGTTGAAGGAATTTTTCCAAGTGTAAACATTTGTAAGTTATCTGAACCATGAATCAGGAAGCATTTGGAAGTCTTGAAAATCATGAAAGATTTAAATAATTTATTAAAATAATTTATTAAAATAAAGTTTTTGTAACTATGGAGTTGGGAGTATTTTCTTGCTTGTTTTAAAAAAGAATGAAACGACTTATAACAAGATGGTTTAAAAACAATTGGAAATAAATGAAGGAAAGTAAGAAGTATGTGATGAATATAAAAACATGAATATAAAAACATGCTTTGTTTGTACTTCTCTCGCTTTGAGAGAGATGCTAGGAAGTAAATCTGGTCATGTCATAGTTTTTTTTGACTTTCTCAGAATACTCGTACAAAAACTAATGAAACTAGATAGCAAATTCAGAAGCATACCATAAAACTGACCTCAGGCATCCAGAAGTCAAAGCAGGTAAGAGCAGACCACTAGCAGCCACAAGAGAAAGTTGAATGGGGTATTGCATAGAACTTGAAAACAGAAGACCTCCAAAATAGCTTCAACTATTTAGTAGACAATTTGCTGGACTATATTAAGAGCAGCAGCTGAAATGAGACAGTGGCGGGAGTTGCCCACTCCAGTATCAGCCAAATACAGTGTGTTCATGGTAAAGACAGAAGAGGATAGAGCTGTCTGGCTCCTGAGAATTCTTGAAACAGAACTTCTAGAGTTCTCTACCAGTACAGGGTGTAGCACACTGAATGGAAACAAAATACAATAGTAGCATCAAATGAGCAGAATAGGGAAAGTTAGAGGGTCAGAAGAGGAAGAAAAGAGAAAGTTCAGATAAGAATTGGCAGAGAAACAGCTGGGAGGTCTCAGAAAGGAAGCTGCCATATTGTTTAACATTACAGGAAAACAATAGAAGAGTCAGTTCTGTAAAACTGGAAAAACTACCTTGAACGCCATCTTCTAAAAATTCAGGAAAACTAATTTTCCATTAACATGAGAAACACAATAGTATCAAGGTAAAATCCCATTTAAAATTATTATAAAGAATATCTGACATTTATAACAGTTTTTTAAGCTAATAACAGCTTTGAATGCATCTTAGCTTTATAGTTTTTACTCTCCCTCCCACATTTAATGTTTCTGTCACAGTTTGCATCTTTTTACCTTATGTATCCATTAACACATTATAGTTACTTTTACTACTTTTATTTTTTAACCTTCATACTAGATTTATAAGTGATTTACCCACCAATATTACAAAATTAGAGCATTCTGAATTAAACCATATACTTACCTTTTTACCAGTGAGATTTATACTTTCATGCTTTCTTGTTACTAATTAGCGCTCTTTTTGTTTCAGCTTGGAGGAAGTCCCCTTAACATTTCTTGTAAGGCTGATCTAGTGGTGATAAACTCCTTCTGCTTTTCCTTTTCTAGAAAATTCTTTATTTCTCCTTCCATTCAGACAGCTTTGCCAGGTAGAGTATTCTTGGTTGGCAGTTCCCCCGCTTCTCGGCACTTTTAATATATTTTGCCATCCTCTCCTGGCTTCCAGAGTTTCTGCTGAAAAATATGCTGATGGTCTTACAAGGATTCCCTTGTGTGAAACAAGTTCTTTTTCTCCTGTTGTTTTTAAGATACTCTTTGTGTCTTTAACATTTGACAATTTAATTAAAATATATCTTGGAGTAGGTTTTTTTGGATTCATCTTTTTTGAAACTTTCTGGGCTTCTTGTATCTGGATGTCTATTTCTTTCCCCAGGTTAGGGCAGTTTTCAGGTATTTTCTTTCAGTAAACTTCCTGACCGTTTGTCTTCATCCTCTCCTTCTGGGGCCATTATCATGTGAGTAGTGGTCTACTTGCTGATCTCCTAAAATTCCCATAAACTATCTGGGACACTTGGGTGACTTAGTCAACTAAACGTCTGACACTTGATGTCGGCTCAGGTCATGATCTCACAGTTTGTGGGATTGAGCCCTGTGTTGGGCTCTGTGCTGACAGCATGGAACCTGCTTGGGAGTCTCTCTTCCTCTCCCCTGCATGTGCTCTCTCTCTCAAAATAAAAAAAGTAAATTTAAAAAAGTCCCTTAAACTGTCTTCACTTTTATTGTTTTTTCTTTCTGTTTCTTTGGATGAATTCTACTGCCCTGTCTTTGAATTTGCTGATACTTTCTTCTGCTTGATCTAGTCTGCTGTTGAACTCCTCTCTCAAATTTTTAGTTCAGTTATTGTATTCTTTGCTGTGTAATTTTTATTGGTGCTTTCCTATATTTTCTCTCTTTGTTAAAATTCTCACTTTATTCATGCATTGTTCTGACCTTGGTGAACATGTTTATGACTGTTACTTTGAACTCTTTATCAAGTAAATCACTTATCTTTGTTTCACTAAGGTCTGTTTCTGGATTTTTTTCTTGCTCTTTTGTTTGGAACATATTCTTCTGTTTGTTCATTTTTCTTTACTTTGTGTTGGTTTCTACACGTTAGATTAAAAAAAAAAAAAAACCAGGGTGCCTGGGTGGCTCAGTCGGTTGAGCAACTGACTTCAGCTAGGGTCATGATCTCACAGTTCATGGGTTTGAGCCTCGTGTCAGGCTCTGTGCTGACAGCTCGGAGCCTGGAGCCTGCTTCAGATTCTGTGTGTCTCTCTCTGTTCCTCCCCTGTTCGTTCTCTGTCTCTCAAAAATAAATAAACGTTAAAAAAATTAAAAAAAAAAAAAAACACCACCAAAACACCACCCCTCCTACTTTTGATGGACTGGTATTCTGTAGGACATCAACCTTATCAACCAGCCTGATGTGAGTTCTTGGTTGTCTCTCATACTTGGGTGATTGCCCGAAGTGCCTTCTTCTTCTTCTTCTTCTTCTTCTTCTTTTTTTTAAATTTGTTGTTTATTTATTTTGAGAGAGAGAGACAGAGAGAGAGAGAGAGAGAGAACGAGAACACAAGTGGTGGAGGGGCAGAGAGAAGGAGAGACAGAATCCCAAGCAGGGTCCACACCATCAGCACAGAGCCTGATGTGGGGCTTGAATTCACGAATTGCAAGATCATGACCTGAGCCCAGATTAAGAGTTGGATGTTTAACCAACTGTGCCACCCAGACACCCCCCAAACTGCCTTCTTTATTCTTAGTGGCTTCCAGTAGTTGAGAGTGTGCCCAGATTTATCAGGTGTTCCAAAGGGAAGGATCACAGTCAGCACCTGCAGGCTGATTGGAAGCTAGATCACCCAGGAAATAACTGGGAAAGTATATAGGTAGGGGCCTTACAGGGAGAGACTTAGAGATGGACATTTCTGCCTGTTTCCACAGCACTGGACCCAGGTATACAGCCTGGGTACACAGGTATATGTACCCATTAAGAACTACCTCATTGCTACAGCCCTGTGCAGCTTATAAATGTAAACCCCATTAGTTTTCAGAGACAGGTGATCCAGAGTCCCATCTCTTGGGTGGCATCTGTAAAAGCTGGGGCTTCAGATGTGTCTGTAAGCTGATTGTGTGGAGATACTGGAGATTTGGATTGGGCTAGAGAGAAAAGGTGGAGGTGGTGTCTGTAGAACTCCCTGGTCTCCTGGGATGATTGTTGTCAGCTCCTGGATATCTGCTAAATTAGAAACCTTACTTCAGGTTTCTTTCAGGGAAATAGACTTCCTATAGGGAGAGATTGGGACATGGGTGATTCTGACTATTTCTTCTGTGCTGAGCCCTGCTGGGATAGATGTCCTACATAAGTTTCCTGGTAGCCAACAGCAAAAATCTATTGTATACACAGAAAAGATTAGTAGGAATCTAAGCATACCAATATAGAATATCAGATCACAAAGAGAGCAAGAAAAGAACAAATGAAATACAAAACAGCCAGAAAACAATGAACTAAATGGCAAGATTAAGTCCATATCTATCAGTTATTACTTTATATAGAAATGGACTAAATTCTTTAATAAAAACTCATAGAGTGGCTGAATGGATAAAAACACAAGACTCACTATATTCTGCCTACAAGAGACTCACTTTAGCTTTTAAGGTCATTGAGGCAGAAAATCAATAGGACTAAAATTACCTGTGAGACCAGGTAGACTTAAGAGACATTTAAAAACATTCCATCTTGGGACGCCTGGGTGGCGCAGTCGGTTAAGCATCCGACTTCAGCCAGGTCACGATCTCGCGGTCCGTGAGTTCGAGCCCCGCGTCAGGCTCTGGGCTGATGGCTCGGAGCCTGGAGCCTGTTTCCGATTCTGTGTCTCCCTCTCTCTCTGCCCCTCCCCCGTTCATGCTCTGTCTCTCTCTGTCCCAAAAATAAATAAACGTTGAAAAAAAATAAAAAAATAAAAACATTCCATCCAGTAGCACCAGAACACACATTTTTCTCAAGTGCATATGGAACATTCTCCAAAATAGATCTTATGTTAGTCCACAGACAAATGTTAATAAATTTAAGAAGGTTAAAATCATATCATGCATTTTGCTGACTACAGTGGTATGAAACTAGAAATCAGTTACAAGAAG